AGGGAGGGAGGGAGGGAGGGGCTTCTTGCTCCTCATGGCCTGGAGCTGCTGGGAGCAGGGGGTGGGGCTTGTTGCATGTGCCCGCCCCCTGGGCTCTTTACTGCAGGAGCTCCGCTCCTTTGCGCACCTGCAGGAAATGACCCCTGCTTTTATCTGACCCAAGCCTACTGCTCACACCCCCAGATCTAGGCACCACCACCACCAGACCAGAAGCCCAGGAACCTTCCTCGCCTTACCGCTGCAGGTGCCTTACTTTGTCCCTGGAGATGCTGACAATGGTGTTCCTCTGCTTGTTCACAATGATGTGGGTGACCGCGGTCGTGTGGCCCTTCAGCTGTGTTATGGGGCTACTGGTGACGTACGGGTTCCAGATTCGGATCAGCGGGTCGTACCCTCCAGTCACTGCCAAGCAAGGGGGGGGGGGACACCATGTCTTTCAACACACATTTTATGATCTGCAGCAGAAAAGAGCAAGAGTCCAGCAGCACCATAAGGACTAAGAAAAAGTCTGGGGAGGAGCTTTCGTGAGTCACCGCCAATGCTCCCTCTAAGCTGTGGAGTCTCGTGAGCCAAAATTCTACTTTGTGAGCCACTGGCATCGAAATTGTGAGCGAGCGATTTGGCTGCTGCCTTAATGAGTTTGCTCTGGAGCCCTCCTCCCTGAGCCGAGACAAAAACGTGTGATCCGGAGGCTAAAAAAACTGTGAGCTGGCTCACACTAACTCAGCTTAGAGGGAACATTGGACTCACTGCTCACTTCTTCGGATACCAAAGAGCAAGAGTCCAGGGGCATCTTAAAGACGAACGAACCCTCTGGCAGGGGGGGAGCTTTCGTGAGTCACTGTTCACTGTGAACAGCGACTCACGAAAGCTCCTCCCTGTCCGGTAGCCCTGTCATAGGTCTGGAATGTGGAGGGGCGCCCTCCCATTTTCTATCTCAGCTCTCCACCAACTGTTTGCTATCTTATGCTTGACCTTGTAGATGCTCCAGCTGCAGTTTCATTCGGCTGGGAAAGTTAACGGTTTTTGCTTTGCCTGCTTCCTTTGCCCCCGCGCGCGAGATGTATCTATTAGCTCATGCTTACGGGGGGGTGGGGGGATGTTTGATTCTAGTATAAGTCAGAGGCCCTTGTATAGGCGTCCATTCCTGACACAAGCTGTACCCGTGTCTCTAGTACTGGATTTACCAATAAACAGTTATCTTCTCATGACGCCCTGTGTTGCGTAACCTAAGGACCCTGGCACTCCCCTGCCATGAATTTTGATAGTCTTCAAGGTGCTCCTGGACTCTTGCTCTTTTCCACTGCTACAGACAGACTAACGCGGCTGCCCCATCTCGATTTATCGTCTGCCTTTCTTTTATTTTTATTTTATTATTTTTTGTACTTACATCATTTACAGTCCGCCTTTCTCGCAGGGACTCAAAACAGATTATATAAACCACAAAATGGGACATTAAACTAATTTATTTATTTATTTATTTATTAGACTTTTACCCCGCCCTCCCGCCAAGGCGGCTCAGGGCGGCTTACAATAGTTTAAAAACCAGTAAAAAACAGTATAAGAATAAATACAGAATACAATCAGTAAAATAAGCAAATATAGCTTATTAGAATTAAAATTACAGTTTAAGCATTACAGTTTAAGCATGGCTTAATGAAATGGGGTTATAGAAGCCTGGAACCTACCGGAAAGAACGGAAGCATATCATACATATTAACAGGATGGTGCAAAAATTACATATCAGGATCCTACTGACCATAGGCTGGACACAGCAACAAAGAAGCAACTGGGGAGACATTATAATGCAATTGATACTATATTGGAAAATTACTAAATACAATACAAAATATCCGCCAAGTGTAATTCAACAATAAAGTGCATAAAGTTCATGAATTCATAGAAAATCACATTCCACTTAGTAATTCATACATAAGAGAATCACAAAATATATAACGAAACTTCCAGCTTTTATCTTCGTTTCGATCCAGGACTTTATTGTTGAATTACACTTTGTGGATATTTTGTATTGTATTTAGTAATTTTCCAATATAGCATCAGTTGCATTATAACATCTGCCCGGTTGTTCCTTTGCTGCTGGTTATCTTCATCTGGGAGGTTTCTCTATACTTACCAGTAAGCTGGACACAGCCGTACAGACCGCAGTCCCTGATCAGAAAAGCGCTCATTCATATTGAGATTCAAGGCAGATTACAAAATTTAAAACAATGAGATAAGAACAATATACGATATATAACTCACAGGGTGCGTTCAGACGGGGCATTTGCAACGGAATAGGTGCCGGTTGGAATCGGTGTACTTACCGGCGTTCACACGGCGAACATCTGCCTTCCGTCCCTAACCGTTGCAAAGAGCTTTACACCGTTGTATTCTGCCACTAGGTCCCCAAGTTGTGGTATCCTGAGTGCAACGGTTGTGATCGCTTTTACCCCTGTCTGATCGCTCTCCAACGTTGTAGAGCCACTTCCGTTTGGAAGCCCGAGGCTTCCGATTTTCGCCCGCCATTTTTTTTTGTTAGGTTGGAGATATGCGCTTGGGCGAAGCTTCGCCCTGGCGTTTGTTTAAAAAAAAAAAAAGGAAAGGTCCTTAGTTTAAGGTTTTGGAGGACTCCAAGACCTCAGGGAGGCCAGTTTGGTCTTTAAACTTTAAATGTAAGACGGGGTGTTTTGCGCATGCGTGAAGATCGCCATTCTGTGGATGGCTGCCTATGCGCATGCTCAAACTGAGTTTTTTAAAAAAACGCTGACGCCCGCTGTATGTGAACGGGCATACAGCGATGGGCTCCGCAGACAGGAGGTAAGTGTGATCGCGTTTCAGCCGGCATAAACTGCACCGGTTCCAACCAGTACAGTTTATGCCGGCTGAAACGCCCCGTCTGAACGCACCCCCTGCATCATAAAATTGGATTTGATTCCTGAAAGCTAACACCCCCCAAAAAACCATGTTGGTCCCTAAGGTGCCACGGGACCTGAATCGAGCTCTCCTACTGCAGAACAGCACAACAGGGCTGCCCGCCGAAACGATCACTGACATGGTGATTTTTAACTTGCAGGATGCCTTAATCCTTGTAAGCCGCCCTGAGCCCGCTTGCGGGGAGGGCGGGGTAAAAATACTTAAATAAATAAATAAATAAAAAATTAATCAGTGGTTCGGTATGGGCTGAAGAGCTCAAGAAGGTCTAGGGAGACCACCTGAGTTCAAGATACCACCACCACCACGGAGTTCACTAGGTAACCTTTGGTCAGTCACTTCATACAACGAAGCTGATGGGCAGTGGGTTCAGGCAGGCCCATGGGGCAAACAGTGGGGCATCTCGGGGCCGGGCCCCCTGACTTATTGCCAATGCCCCCCAACGTCCCATTCAGCCCCCAGGCCCCCCAACTTCCAATTTTGAGGTTCAAGCCTGAGGAGGGTGGGGTTTAGGGAAGAAGAGAAGAAGAAGAGGAGATTGGATTTATACCCCGCCCTTCACTACCCGAAGGAAGAAGAAGAGATTGGATTTATACCCTGCCCTTCACTTGAAGTCTCAGAGCAGCTTACAAACTCCTTTCCCTTCCCCTCCCCACAACAGACACCCTGTGAGGTGGGTGGGTGGGGCTGAGAGAGCTCTGACAGAAACTGCTCTTTTTCAAGAACAGCTCCTGTCAGAACTACGGCTTGCCCAAGGTCATCCAGCAGGTGTATGTGGAGGAGTGGGGAATCAAACCCGGTTCTCCCAGATTAGAGTCCACGCACTTAACCACTACACCAAACAGAGTCTCAGAGTGACTTACAAACTCCTTTCCCTTCCCCTCCCCACGACACCCAATGAGGTAGGTGGGGCTGAGAGAGCTCTGACAAAAATGGCTCTTTTTCAAGAACAGCTCTGACAGAACTGTGGCTTGCCCAAGGTCATCCAGCAGGTGCAAGTGGAGGAGTGGGGAATCAAACCCGGTTCTTTCAGATTAGAGTCCGCGCACTTAACCACCACACCAGACAGGCTCTCAGGATGGGGTTTAGCGAAGGGAGGGGCCTCAGAGGGATACAATGCCATACAGTCCACACTCCAAATCAACCACTTCCTGCAGGGGGAACTGGTTTCTGTCGCCCGGAGATCAGTTATAATTCCGAGAGATCTTCCGGCTCCACCTCGTGGTTTGCAACCCTGGTTAGAGGAGACAAGACAGTGCATGGCATATATTTTAAATCATCATTTTAAGGCCAGAAAAACATACCAAGAATATTCATTTCAGAAGAGTAGTCGAAGCAGAGAATGCCTTTCTTCAGGACAATCACAGCGGATCTAGAGCAAAGAGAAGGGGGAAGTACAGAGACGTGTTCAGGGGGTGCATTCTCAGGCGGGATTTCCGCACCAGGATCCAGAAGGGTCAGAATCACAACACTGGACTCAGAGGGCCAGCTAGTTCAGAACTGCTAGCTTGCCAGCATCTGACCGAGGACGAGCCTCATGTCTAAGAAAGCTTGCAGAGTAACAGATCCGCTGGCCTTCTGTGGCTACAAAGACTGATAGTTTTCCCATTCAACATTGTGCATAACCTTTAATGGGTCAAACAAAACGCAACTGCGCCATCTGCTGTAGACTCCTCTGAGCTGCCGCGTTGAACTCTCGAGAATAATCTCCCTTATAAATAAAAGCCGAATGGTGGTGGCACTTCTCTAGAACATTCCACACGCTCCAAAATCAGTTTGCTCTCTGATCTGTCATTCAGAGGGTCTCCCTATCCACTGGCTGCTTTGCCTGAGTCCTGCCTCCAACATTCTAAACATTTTGCAGTTCCTCTCCCCCCTACAGCCAGTCAGAACACAGAGGTTATTTGCATACGCAGCCTCATTGGCCTTTGCCTCAGAACACAGAGGTCGTTTGCATATGCAACTTGATTGGCTTTTGCCTCTAACATTCTAAACAGTTTGCTGTTCTGAGGTAAAATGTGTCCAATCTCCAGGTGAGGGCTGGAGATCACTCAGAATTACAACTGCTTTCCAGATGGCAGAGATCAGTTCCCCTGGAGAAAATGGTGGGCTCTGTGTCCTTACATGCTGCTGAGGTAGCCCCCGTATGACAGCCAATGTGACGCAGCAGTCAGGGCTTCAGAGCACGGGAGAGGCTGCAGGTGTGTGGAGGGTGGAAAGCTGAAGAGTGAGGGGGAAATAAAGGTAGGCTGATGATTGGCTGGGGAGGAGATAGGGTTGCCAACTCCAGGTGAGAAATTCTTGGAGATATGAGGGATGGAGCCTGGAGAGGGTGAGGTTTCAGGAGGCGTGGGACCTCCGACAGGTACAAAGCCATAGACTCCACCCTCCAAACCAACTATTCCCTTCTGGGGAACCACCGTTGCCAATCTCCAGGTGAGGACTGGAGATCACTCAAAATTACAACTGTTCTTTAGGTAGCAGAGATCAGTTCCTCCTGGAGAAAATGGTGGACTCAGTGTCATTCTACCCTGCTGAGGTCGCAACAGCAAATTGACACTGAGTGTCCGAGGCTACGGCACCCGCCCAAAGCCTCTTTCTAGAGGCCGTTGTATTTATTTCCACAATGGGCCTTTTTCCTAGTAAACACATATTTAACAAACATATTCTGCGACAGCAAAACAGAAGAGCAAGGTTTGAATCCAGTAAGACCTTCAAGACCAACAAGATTTCCAGCTCCAGGTTGGGAAATTCCTGGAGATCCAGGGTGGGACAGCCTAAGTAGGGCGGGGTTTGGAGTTGGAAGATAACTCAGCAAAACATAATGCCAAACAGAAAACATAAGAACATAAGAGAAGCCAATGTTGGATCAGGCCAATGGCCCATCCAGTCCAACACTCTGTGTCACACAGTGGCCAGAAATACCAGATGCCATCAAGAGGTCCACCAGTGGGGCCAGGACCCAAGAAGCCCTTCCACTGTTGCCCCCTCCCCCAAGCACCAAGAAGACAGAGCATCCCTTGCCCCAGACCGAAGGTTCCTATCTATGCCTTGTGGCCAATAGCCACCGATGGACCTCTGCTCCATATGCTAATCCAATTCCCTCTTGAAGCCGCCCACGCTTGTAGCCGCCACCACCTCCTGTGGCAGTGAATTCCATGCGTTAATCACTCTTTGTATGAAGAAGGACTTCCTTCTGAACCTTCTGAAGGAACCTTCTGAAGCAGTGATCTTCTCCAGGGGAACTGATCACTGCCGTCTCGAAACCAGTTCTGATTTTGGGAGTCTCCAGGCCCCACCTGGAGTTTTCCAATACCAACCCTACCAGAGGGTTCCCCTGTCATTAAGAATGAGGGCATCAGGGAGGTGGCAGGGGGAGGAGAGAAGAAGTGGCAAGACCTCCGAACCTCCTTGCGCCTCCCTCTGCGAATCTGTGCCCATGGAAATTCATCATTCACCTGACACTCTCACACTTGCGCCTTCTGGACCAGAAGCTGGAATAAATACAGAGGAGGGCACACCAAGATGATGAAGGGGTTCGAGCACCGTCCCCAGGGGTCATTTCCTGCAGGAGCGCACAGGAGCGGAGCTCCAGCAGTAAAGAGCTCAGGGGGCGGGCACATGCAACAAGCCCCACCCCCTGCTCCCAGCAGCCATCAGTCAGAGCAAGAAGCAGCCAGGTAAGTTGCAGCGCTCCCCTCCCTGGCCCCCCGGTCCAAAACAGTTCAGTGGCACCTTTAAGACCAAGTTTTATTCAGGTACAAGCTCTCCCTCCTCTGCGAGGGCAGATCTGCACGTCCTCCCCCCCCCCCCATAGCTAGCAATCCAAAACAGTCCAGTGGCACCTTTAAGACCAAGTTTTATTCAGGTACAAGCTCTCCCTCCTCTGCGAGGGCAGATCTGCACGTCCTCCCCCCCCCCCCATAGCTAGCAATCCAAAACAGTCCAGTGGCGCCTGAGCAGTGGGTGTTGCCTACTGACACACTTCTGGTGATGTCAGGGGGTGTGGCGTATGCAAATAAGTTATGCTAATGAGCTATGCTAATGAGCTCCTGCACCTCTTTTTCTACGAAATGACCCCTGACCTTCCCTATAAGGAAAGGCTGAAGACTCTGGGACTTTTCAGTGCAGAACAGAGAAGACGGGGGGGTGGGGGGACGCACATGATAGAGGTTTCTAAAATTATGTGTGGGGTGGTGAGAGTGGACCAAGAAAATTGTTTCTCCCGCTCTCCAAAGACTAGAACGCGAGGGCATCCAATGAAGCTGACTGTCAATAGGTTCAGGACGGACAAAAGAGAGCGACTAAAATGCAGAATTCACTGTCGGAGGATGTAGTGATGGCCACAGAAATAAACAGCTTTTTAAGGGGATTAGATAGATTAACGGAGAATAGGTCTGACAATGGCTACTAGCCGTGGTGACTGAGGGGAACCTCCACATTCAGAGGCACTAACCCTCTGAGTCCCAGAGCCAGAAGGCAACATCAGGGCCTAAGAAGAGCCCTGCTGGATCAGACCGGTGGTCCCTCTATTACAGCCTCCTGTCTCACACAGTCACCAACTAGTTCCTCTGGAGGGTCAACAACAGGGCAGGGAGGCCGAGGCCTTCCCCTGATAAGAACATAAGAAGAGCCCTGCTGGATCAGACCGGTGGTCCCTCTATTACAGCCTCCTGTCTCACACAGTCACCAACTAGTTCCTCTGGAGGGTCAACAACAGGGCAGGGAGGCCGAGGCCTTCCCCTGATAAGAACATAAGAAGAGCCCTGCTGGATCAGACCGGTGGTCCCTCTATTACAGCCTCCTGTCTCACACAGTCACCAACTAGTTCCTCTGGAGGGTCAACAACAGGGCAGGGAGGCCGAGGCCTTCCCCTGATAAGAACATAAGAAGAGCCCTGCTGGATCAGACCGGTGGTCCCTCTATTACAGCCTCCTGTCTCACACAGTCACCAACTAGTTCCTCTGGAGGGTCAACAACAGGGCAGGGAGGCCGAGGCCTTCCCCTGATAAGAACATAAGAAGAGCCCTGCTGGATCAGACCGGTGGTCCCTCTATTACAGCCTCCTGTCTCACACAGTCACCAACTAGTTCCTCTGGAGGGTCAACAACAGGGCAGGGAGGCCGAGGCCTTCCCCTGATAAGAACATAAGAAGAGCCCTGCTGGATCAGACCGGTGGTCCCTCTATTACAGCCTCCTGTCTCACACAGTCACCAACTAGTTCCTCTGGAGGGTCAACAACAGGGCAGGGAGGCCGAGGCCTTCCCCTGATAAGAACACCTTCCCCTAATGTTACCTCCCGGCACCACGAGTCAGAGGCTGATGACCTCTGAACATCGAGACTCAAAACGTCACTCCTCTTGATTTCTCGGAAGGCCTGGAGAGAACCAGGCTTGCCACAAAACACTGTCACGTCCGTGGTCTCTATGACACCCCCACACACACACATACCTCTGCCACAATTTGCACCTTTGGGGGCATCCCAACCCATTCTTTTCTCCGTGGGAACAGCAGTGATGCCTCCGTCCCACCCACCTTGTGTCTTATACGCAGGGCCCTGAGGGGGGAAAAAGCCGCTCTTACTGGGTTTTACCAACATTATGCAGTGGGAGCGAAGTCAGCACCATGGCGGTCTTGTCGGCCGGCGTGCAGGAGGCCACCAGGTTGAGCTGGGGGATGAACATGATTTGCTGGCACCAGTCTTCGTGCAAAGCCTGCGCGGGGGGAAGATGAGAGGAGGAGGAAGAGGAGATTGGATTTATACCCCGCCCTTCACTACCCAAAGGAGTCTCAGAGCAGCTTACAATCTCCTTCCCACAACAGGCACCCTGGGAGGTAGGTGGGGCTGAGAGAGCTCTCTGGAGAACTGGCCTTGAGAGAACCAGCTCTGAGAGAACTTGTGACTGGCCCAAGGTCACACCAGCAGCTGCATGTGGAGGAGTGGGGAATCAGACCCGGTTCTCCCGGATTAGAGTCTGCGCTCTTAGCCACTACACCAAAATTTAAGACCAACAAAGTTTAATTCTGGGTAAAAGCTTTTGTGTACATGTACACCAAGAAGAAAGAGAAGGAGGAGAAGAAGAAGAAGAGGAGGAGGAGGAAGGTGAGGAGGGGATTGGATTTATACCCCACCCTCCACTACCCGAAGGAGTCTCAGAGTGGCTTACAAACTCCTTCCCCTTCCCCTCCCCACAACAGACCCCAGACATAAGAACATAAGAGAAGCCAATGTTGGATCAGGCCAGTGGTCCCTCCAGTCCAACACTCTGTGTCAAACAATGGCCAAAAAGACCAGGTGCCACCAGGAGGTCCAGCAGTGGGGCCAGAACACCAGGAGCCCTCCCACTCTTATGTTCTTATGTCTCTTTGCATGCAGAAGGTCCCAGGTTCAGTCTCCAACATCTCTGGTCAAAAGAATTAGGCAGCAGACGACATGGGGGAAAAAACCCTTCTCAACCTGAGCCCCTGGAGAGCTGCTGCCAGACAGAGCCAGAAATACTGACCCCCGATGGACTGGGTTTCTGCCTCTCCCTCTCTCCTCTGTTAATTGTGGCAAGCAAGGCCTCAGACATGCCGCACAGCAAGCAAGGGACGGAAAAGAATGACAGAACAGGGAGGAAAAAGCCCCCGCTGCCGGCTCTGCCCCGCTGTGTGAGGGTACTAAGGACATGTCACCAAGCACGGGGGATGATGTGTCATTAGTCGTAGCGTATTAAAACATAAAACCCTCACCGACACCGTGAAATTCTTGTATGGGTCTGTCTTGCCTTTCATGAGGATTTGCACCGGGACTCTCGCTAAGCCACCTGTCAGGAAAAGGGGGAAATAAACTCGTGACAACATTTCATGTTTGAGCAGGTAGCGAAAGAGGTACTTTTCTCCCTTTCTCACAATACAAGAACTCCTTGTGGGCACTCCATGAAATTGCTGAGCGGTCGGGATAGAACGGATAAAAGGAAGTACTTCTTCACCCAAAGAGTGATTAACACTTGGAATTCACTGCCACAGGAGGTGGTGGCGGCTACAAGCATGGATGGCTTCAAAAGGGAATTAGATAAGCATATGGAGCAGAGGTCCATCAGTGGCTATTAGCCACAAGGTATAGATAGGGACTCTCGGTCTGGGGCAAGTGATGCTCTGTCTTCTTGGTGCTTGGGGGGGGGGTCAAGAGTGGGAGGGCTTCTAATGTCCTGGCCCCACTACTGGACCTCCTGATGGCACTGGTATTTCTGGCCACTGTGTGACACAGAGGGTTGGACTGGATGGGCCTTTGGCCTGATCCAACATTGGCGTCTCTTATGTTCTTATGTTCTTATGACTTGAGCTTGCATCCCTTTACCCAGGGGCACCAAACATGGTGCCCATTGGCACAATGGCACCTGATGACACCAGGGTTGCCAATCCCCAGTTGGGGGTATGGGACCTCCTGATTTCGTGCCTCCCCCCACATCAGGGTTATCAGAAAGCGGGGGGGGGGATGTCTGCTGGGCACTCCATTATACCCTATGGAGACTGGTCCCCATAGAATATAATGGAAAATCGATCCATGGGTACCTGGGGCTCTGGGAGGGCTGTTTTTTTCAGATAAAGGCACCAAATTCTCAGCATAGCATCTGGTGCCTCTCCTCAAAAACCTCCCCCAGTTTCAAAACCATTGGACCAAGGGATCCAATTCTATCAGCCCCGAAAGGAGGTGCCCCCATCCACCATTATTTCCAACGGAGGGAAGGCATTGAAAAGGAATGCGGTCCCTTCAAATGTGACGGCCAGAACTCCCTTCGGAGTTCAGTCGTGCTTCTTCCCCTCCCCTCTCCCGGAATCTCCTGGAAAGTCTCCCACTGGCTAGTCAGCCTCACCTGCCAACCCTAAATGCTACCAGTGCATGTGGGCTTGGGTGGAGAGCAACCCCGGTGTTAGAAGCACAGGCTCCGACCATGGAATCACAGGAACCTTCTGGATGCGGGGGGGTGGACCTGGAAGGGCCATTGCAGGATGGCTCCACCCCAAAGGCCCCAGATATTTCCTGAGTCGGACCTGGCGACCCTAGATGACCTTTCCCGGCACCTGATTGCCTTTGCGGATATTTTAAAATGTTTGAATGTATGTCACTCCATCCTGTACGGAAAACATAAGAACATTGCCTTTGCGGATATTTTAAAATGTTGCTTGGACAGCAGCCACTGCAGCTCAGGGATCTTCACTGTGTGAGCGAAGGTAAGTGGTGGCAGCCATTTTGTGGCAGGTCAGTGAGGGGGGTCAACAGTGGGAGGGGGCTTCTAGTGTCCTGGCCCCACTGCTGGACCTCCCGATGGCACCTGGTATTTTTGGCCACTGTGGGACACAGAGTGTTGGACTGGAGGGACCATTGGCCTGATCCAACACTCTCTTATGTTCTTATAAGAGGGAACTGGATAAACATCTGGAGCAGAGGTCCACTAGTGGCTCTTAGCCACAAGGGATAGATAGGAACTCTCGGTCTGGGGAAAGTGATGCTCTGTATTCTTGGTACTTGGGGGGGGGGCAACAGTGGGAGGGCTTCTCGTGTCCTGGCCCCACTGTTGGACCTCTTGAGGGCACCTGGTATTTTTGGCCACTGTGTGACACAGAGTGTTGGACTGGATGGGCCACTGGCCTGATCCAACACTGGCTTCTCTTATGTTCTTATGCCTGGGGCAAGTGATGCTCTGTATTCTTGGTGCTTGGGGGGCAAGGGTGGGAGAAGTCCTGGCCTCGCTGGTGGACCTCCTGATGGTACCTGGTATTTTTGGCCACTGTGGGACACAGAGTGTTGGGATGGAGGGGCCATTGGCTTGATCCAACATTGGCTTCTCTTATGTTCTTATATGGAGCAGAGGTCCATCAGCGGCTATGAGCCATAAGGTATAGATAGAGGCTCTGGGGCAAGTGATGCTCTGTATTCTTTGTGCTTGGGAGGGGCCAACAGTGGGAGCGGGCTTCTAATGTCCTGGCCCCACTGCTGGACCTCCTGGTGGCACCTGGTATTTTTGGCCACTGTGTGACAGAGTGTTGGACTGGAGGGGCCACTGGCCTGATCTAATATGGATTCTGTTATGTACTTATGTCTGGGGCAAGTGATGCTCTGCATTCTTGGTGCTTGGGGGGCAAGGGTGGGAGGAGTCCTGGCCCCGCTGGTGGACCTCCTTGTACAGGATGGAGTGACATACATTCAACTCACGCAAGTTTGTGCTACCAGAATTATTGGTGGACTTTAATTGGCTAGACAGGAGGCCTATCATATAATAATAATAATAATAATAATAATAATAATAATAATAATAATAATAATAATAATAATAATAATAATAATAATAATAATAATAATAATAATAATAATAATAATAATAATAATAATAATAATAATAATAATAATAATAATAATAATAATAATAATAATAAAAAATACATAAGTATTTAGGAAACAACATCTGGCCTTATACTGCATATGTATTGAACATCTTATGTTAAAAAAATTTTTGAATGTATGTCAAACTTGTAATTGGAATTGTGACCACTGAGGAAGGCCCTTTGTGGGGCCGAAACGCATTTGGTTCAGTTGCACAGCACTAACCCATCTATGTATGAATGTTGAGAAGTTTTTTATGTCTGGATGGTATATTTTTAATGAGTCTAAGTTTTAAAATGTGTACACCTGAATAAATTTTGTATTTTCATAATATTTAGTGTCAGCTTAACCCTTGTGGATCCATATCTAACTACTTTTACCAATTTTCCAACAACAAACTGGCAAAGGGGCAAAATCTGCCCGTCCACGTGCTTTTTACATATGAAGAAGAAGAAGAGATTGGATTTATACCCCGCCCTTCAGTTGGAGTCTCAGAGCGGCTTACAAACTCCTTTCCCTTCCCCTCCCCACAACAGACACCCTGTGAGGTGGGTGGGGCTGAGAGAGCTCTGACAGTAACTGCTCTTTTTTCAAGAACAGCTGTGCCAGAGCTTGTGACTGACCCAAGGTCATCCAGCCAGGTGCAAGTGGAAGAGTGGGGAATCAAACCCGGTTCTCCCAGATTAGAGTCCACACACTTAACCATGACACCAAACCTTCAGGCAGAAAACCCAAACCGTGGTGTTCAAACCAACAGCAACAGCTTATATTATCTGCAGCCCTTTAATGGGCTAAGCGTCACACTGGCCCGTCCCCGGCCTTGCGGCTCACCTATGTAGGCTCGGATGTTGAAGAGCCCGTTGGTCGTGACGTTCACCGAGGTGAAGATCAAGACGTTCCCTTTCATGTCTCCGACACAGAACACCCCTTTGTAGCCATCTGTCCTAGTTCAAGGAGGAAGAGCAGAGGAAAGACAGCGCGCCCAACCCCGCAGCCTCGGGTCGGGTCGGGACGCAGCCCCATCCCCCTGGGCCGCAAGGCAGAATCAAAACGCGGCAGGAAAATCAGCGCGCCTGGGGGCATTTCTGTATGACAGCCTGGATTAGCCAAGGCCTCTCTGTTTGGCTCCTCTCCCAGAAGCCTTTGCGGGCTGAGCTATTGCCATCTCTCAGGCCTCTCTCTCTAACCTGACAAGGCACTCTGCTTCCAAGAAGGTCACCATAACGTCTAAACCCTGGGATTGCCTACTGAAGGCTCTTCGGTTCGTAGAATGAACTTTGATGCATTTCTGACTCTCGGTTTTGACACATCACATCCTTGACTGTCTAGGGCAGTGACGGCGAACCTTTTAGAGACCGAGTGCCCAAACTGCGACCCAAAACCCACTTATTTATCGCAAAGTGCCCACACGGCAATTTGACCTGAATACTGAGGTTTTACTTTAGAAAAAACAACTCACACATTAACTTAAGATGATCCAAACAAAGTAAGGAAAGCAATCCCAAATGCTTTCATTGACTTAAAATTATTTGGCAGAGAATTCGACCCTTTAATGATGGTCTGGGCTTGGCTGGGGCGATGGCACGCGTGCCCACAGAGAGGGCTCTGAGTGCCACCTCTGGCACCTGTGCCATAGGTTCGCCACCACTGGCCTAGGGTAACTAGGGCAGGAGTTCAGGGTGAAAACTGTTCTCTTTATTTTGACCTTCTTCTGCTAAAAGTGGGTTAACCTTGCATCATCCATGTGGCTGGACCTATGGGTACTACTGAGGGTATAAACTGTTGAAGACATCTTTGTTCTGGGCCGGTCATCCGTCAGCTCTCTGTGAGCTCTTGTTGACTAGACCAGGCCGCTCTGTATTTCATATTAGTGCACTATGTTTGTGTTGGAAATGTTATGTTTTTATCCTGATTCGATAGAAGGCAGCTTCATGTGTGTCCATTTGTGAGGAGGAGGAGGAGGAGGAGGAGATTGGATTCATCCCCCGCCCTTCACTACCCAAAGGTGTCTCAGGGCGGCTTACAAACTCCTTTCCCTTCCCCTCCCCACCACAGACACCCTGTGAGGCAGGTGGGGCTGAGAGAGCTCTGACAGAAACGGCTCTTTTTCAAGAACAGCTCTTATCAGAACTACGACTTGGCCAAGGTCATCCAGCAGGTGCAAGCGGAGGAGTGGGGAATCAAACCCGGTTCTCCCAGATCAGAGTCCACGCACTTAGCCACGACACCAAACTGGCTCTGCCCAAGAAGAAGAGGAGAAGATATTGGATTTATACCCCACCCTTCTCTACCCAAGGGAGTCTCAGAGCGGCTTACAATCTCCCTTCCCCTCCCCACCACAGACACCCTGTGAGGCAGGTGGGGCTGAGAGAGCTCTGACAGAAACGGCTCTTTTTCAAGAACAGCTCTTATCAGAACTACGACTTGGCCAAGGTCATCCAGCAGGTGCAAGTGGAGGAGTGGGGAATCAAACCCGGTTCTCCCAGATTAGAGTCCGCACACTTAACCACGACACCAAACTGGCTCCCTGCGTGGGCAATCTGTCCTCCTGAGCCCTCGGACAAGATGGACGCCCACACTCCCTCGCCGCCCAAAACCCGCTCACTTCTGCTGTGGATAGGAGGACGGAAGAGACAAAACAGCAACATCTTGCTGGGAGGAAGCCTCGCCTCTCCCCCAGCATCTCCTCTCAGGCAAGGAGAAGAAACAACCAGAGACCGGCTGCGCAGCTCAGACAATATTTGTGTGGCAGACAGCATTCCCTCTAAGCTGAGTTAGTGTGAGCCAGCTCACCATTTTTTAGCCTCTGGCTCACACATTTTTTGTCTCCGCTCAGGAAGGATGGGCCTCCAGAGCAAACTAATTGATGCAGCAGCCAAATCGCTCGCTCACAACTTTAGTGCCAGGAGCCCACGAAGTAGAATGTTTGCTCACGAGACTCCACGGCTCAGAGGGAGCTTTGGTGGCAGAGAGGCTTTTTCTGGGAGTCACGCCGCATCTGCCTTAGCGTGTCATTTGGGGCTCTTCTAGGGACAGTGAGAGACCAGAGTACACCCATGTGTAATAGGCCAGCCTTTCCCACATGCAGAGCCTACTTCTGTCCGGCGCGAGTTGCGGCTGAGCCCAGCACTTTCTAGGTGTGAGGCAAACGTACGGCCACTGAAGAGAGTCGTCATCTTTATTTCACTCCACATGCATTCAAAAGATCATTACGATCTAACATCTTGTGATTCAGAATCAATTCTTTGGCCGTGGTGAGAAAGAGATGGCCTTTCCCTCTTCTTGTGGTAACGATAGACAAAGAAATGGAAAAGAACAATAAATTCCTATCTTCGCGCCTCTTAGCTCAGGAAATTACCCTTAAGGAGTCAGACAAAGGGATGCTTTTTGGGACACTTATCAGAGGACTACAATGCCCAGGGGTGACTGCTCTTAAAGATACACAGCAGTTTTACTAAACTACTATTACCTGCAGTTAACGCTGCAGTAGTAATAGTAGTAGGAGCTGCGGTGGCTCAGGTGGTTAAGATGCTGAACTGCAGGCTGTGGAAGGTCGGTAGTTCAGCAGTTCGAGACCTGAGTGTGCCGCATGACGGAGTGAGCTCCCGTCTCTAGTTCCAGCTCCTACCAACCTAGCAGTTCGAAAGCAAGACATTGCAAGTAGATAAATAGGTACCACTTCGGTGGGAAGGTAACAGCAAGTGGAGGGGTGGGGAATCAAACCCGGTTCTCCCAGATTAGAGTCCGCGCACTTAACCACTACACCAAACTGGCTGGAAGGAAGGGAGGGAGGGAGGGAGGGCTACTGCCTCCACCCCTAGTTTGTTGGGTTCTTGGAAGCATCCAGCCGGTCTCTGCTGGAAACGAGATGCCCACCACCTTGCTATGACAGAGATCCCTGCAGCTCATTCCAGAGGACAACCTCTGAGGCCATTCCGTCTCCAGATTCCCAATCCCAGCCTGGGGACCCTGCGGGAAATGCGCACTCCGCGCACAAAGGGGCTCCCCTCCTTGTCAACCTACCAGTAATCCATGGCCGTGGCGCATCCATCCAGGTCAACGAGGGAAAAGAGACGGTCACATTTGTTGCCCCCGATATCAAAGAACTCTGGGTGGAAAGGGAGGAAGAGGACTGCCGCCTGAGGGTCTCCTGACATATTACGCAGCCCTCATAAGGACGTCGGAAGGGCCGAGCCCTGCTGGATCAGACCAAAGGCCCATCGAGTCCGGCATCCTGTCTCTGGCCTCAGCGAGGCTAGCCTCCCTCCTCGCCTTTGGAGAGCTAGCTGATGAGGGCTGTGATTCATATTTAAGCTTAATTCTTGGCAGGTTTCCTGGTACCAGATTCTCTGTCCTACAAAGGAACTAATTGTTTTGGGAACACTCATAACCTTCGCCGTTGGTGCCCTGGCAACTTACGCATTCCATTCTATTGCATCCTAATTCCATCTACAGAGGCTTCTAATAATACTTTTGCTTAATTTAGAAGAAGAAGAGAAGAAGAGATTGGATTTATACCCTGCCCTTCACTACCCAAAGGTGTCTCAGAGCGGCTTACAAACTCCTTTCCCTTCCCCTCCCCGCAACAGACACCCTGTGAGGTGGGTGGGGCTGAGAGAGCTCTGACAGAAACGGCTCTTTTCCCAAGAACAGTTCTTATCAGAACTAAGGGATCCCCAAGGTCATCCAGCCAGGTGCAAGTGGAGGAGTGGGGGAATCAAACCCCAGTGCTCCCAGATTAGAGTCCGCGCACTTAACCGCTACACCAAACTGGCTCACCAAATTTAGCTTCTCATACAAAAATGCAGTGATAAAATATATATGTTTTACGATTGATTTCTTCCATTGGGGCTAAATACCAAAACCTGAATATACTATGATTAAACTCTTATGAAGGCACAGTGACAGCTGTCAATATATGGCAAAGGAGATGTCAGAAATCACATTCATTTTTCCCTCGTCCTACACTGGGGAGGGCGTTTGGTGCCACCTCCAAGAAGGCCCCTACCCAGGGTCACCACCTATCTGGACTCAGAGGCCACCAAAGCAGGGCTTCCATAGATGACCAGAGAGTACAGATAGCTTCCTAGGGAAGGAGGGAGCCCTTAGGTCTGTCGGTCCCAGGCCATACTGGGCTTTAAAGGTCAATACCGGCACCTTGAATTGAGCCCAGAAGCAAACTGGGAGCCAGTGTAGTTGGAACGAGACTGGGGTGATAGGGTCCCTGCAACCCACTCCAGTCAATACTCTAGCTGCAGCATCATGCACCAACTGTAGCTTTGAGACAGTCTCCAAGGGCAGCCCCATGTGGAGTACACTGCAGTAATCTAAACAATATGTTAACAGAGTGTGCCCCACAGTGGTGGGATGTTTTAGGAAGTACTAGACACAGCAAGGGAGCATCAGCCAAACTCCTGCCGAGGAGGACCATGCAGCCAAGTCCAAAGCCTTCCACTGGTATAAGGAGCTTCCGCCAGCTTCCGCCAGGGCCAGGGAGAGGCTGTTTGGGCTGGAGGAAGGCCTCACGCCTGGCAAAGCCCTGCAAGGGGGCGGGGAGGAACCAGCAACTGCTGTCAGTCTCACCGATATCCTGCTCGGTCGATGCCACCGCCATCAAGTTGATATTTGGCAGGCACACCATGTCAATCACCCACAGTTTCAAACTGTGGAGCCGCTTCCTCTGGTCCAGCTAGAGAGAGAGAAAGAGAGAGATCTCACCTCACCGGCTGGTTCTGCATTGGCTTTTCCCCTCCGTTGTTTTACGAAACCCATGCTAGAACAGAAATTCCCCTCTGCATGGCGGACTGCTTCCACTTCCTTTGATGATTGGGTTTCATGATAGTTTCCACACTCCATGCCACTTCCGAGTTCTTTGACCCTCGGATTTTATTGTACCTTCTGCATAGATTTATGGCCATTTTATGGCCATTTAGGGGTGACTTTGCAGTTGGCACGGTGTTGCCCTGAGGTATTTGAATGTGGTTTTGGAACTGCACTTTTCCCTCACCAGTTGACAAAATGTGGAGCGAATGCTAGCTGCAGAATCAGCCACTGCGTATCTACATCACACACACTGGTTCAAAGCCCTGTCCTCTCCCCAGGGAGGAGGAGGAGGAGGAAGAGGAAGAAGAGTTTGGATTTATACCCTACCCTTCACTACCCAAAGGTGTCTCAGAGTGGCTTACAAACTCCTTTCCCTTCTCCTCCCCGCAACAGACACCCAGTGAGGCGGGTGGGGCTGAGAGAGCTCTGACAGGAACTGCTCTTTTTCACAAACAGCTCTGACAGAACTACGGCTTGCCCAAGGTCATCCAGCCAGGTGCGAGTGGAGGAGTGGGGAATCAAACCCGGTTCTCCCAGATTAGAGCCCGTGCACTTAACCACTACACCAAACTGGCTCTCACACCCTTCCCTTGGGAGTCTCAGAGCAGCTTACAAACCCCTTTCCCTTCCTCTCCCCACAACAGACACCCTGTGAGGTCGGTGGGGCTGAGAGAGCTCTCTCGAGAACTGCCCTTGAGAGAACAGCCCTGACAGAACTACGGCTTGCCCAAGGTCATCCAGCAGGTGCGAGTGGAGGAGTGGGGAATCAAACCCGGTTCTCCCAGATTAGAGCCCGCAGATTTAACCACTACACCAAACTGGCTCTCACATCCTTCCCTTGGGAGTCTCAGAGCAGCTTACAAACCCCTTTCCCTTCCTCTCCCCACAACAGACACCCTGTGAGGTCGGTGGGGCTGAGAGAGCTCTCTCGAGAACTGCCCTTGAGAGAACAGCCCTGACAGAACTACGGCTTGCCCAAGGTCATCCAGCAGGTGCGAGTGGAGGAGTGGGGAATCAAACCCGGTTCTCCCAGATTAGAGCCCGCAGATTTAACCACTACACCAAACTGGCTCTCACACCCTTCCCTGGGGAGTCTCAGAGCAGCTTACAAACCCCTTTCCCTTCCTCTCCCCACAACAGACACCCTGTGAGGTCGGTGGGGCTGAGAGAGCTCTCTCGAGAACTGCCCTTGAGAGAACAGCCCTGACAGAACTACGGCTTGCCCAAGGTCATCCAGCAGGTGCGAGTGGAGGAGTGGGGAATCAAACCCGGTTCTCCCAGATTAGAGCCCGCAGATTTAACCACTACACCAAACTGGCTCTCACACCCTTCCCTGGGGAGTCTCAGAGCAGCTTACAAACCCCTTTCCCTTCCTCTCCCCACAACAGACACCCTGTGAGGTCGGTGGGGCTGAGAGAGCTCTCTCGAGAACTGCCCTTGAGAGAACAGCCCTGACAGAACTACGGCTTGCCCAAGGTCATCCAGCCAGGTGCAAGTGGAGGAGTGGGGAATCAAACTTGGTTCTCCCAGATTAGAGTCCGCGCACTTAACCACGACACCGAACTGGCTCTCAACCCTGGGGGCTCTCGTTCTCGGAGAGAACTAAAGATACTTAACGTCAACAGGGACTCCCTCTTTGGGGGGGTAAGTCCCCCCCCCACCGGCCAGCTGATTGGCAGCTGGGTGGAGCGGCCCGGAAGCGGGGGATCCCCTCTTCCACGGTGGGTCTGGCAAACCTACGCGCAGAGGAGCGAAGCCGTCGTAGTCCCGCCAGGCCTCACGCCCCCCCTCCGGCCCTGACCCGGTCGACCTACGTGAACGGTCCGGAGGAGGTTGAAGGAGTCGCTCCAGTAATGTAGGATCCCGTCCCTGCTCACGGTGAGGAAGCGCCCGGCGGCGGAGCGGCCACCGCTAAGGCTGGCGTTGCTGCCCCTCTTAAATTTCAGCTTCCTGTCCATCATCCGGCTCTGGTTGGGGAAAAACTGGATCTTGACAATTTCTTCGGTGTGGGCCCTGCAGTGACACAGCGGGAGGCCATTTTGTCCGGAGGCCGGTCAAACGCCTGTCTGGCCAGATCTGGCTCTTTCCCCCCTGTATTAAACGGGGCCTGGGGAAAGTGTTCGGCTCGTGCGGGACTTCTGAAGGCGTCTTGGAGACCGAGAAGCCCTGTGAGGAAAGGCTGAGGGACTTGGGGAATGTTCGGTCTGGAGAGGAGGAGGTGGAGGGGGGGGCATGGTTGCTCTCTTGAAGTATTTGGAGGGCTGTGTCACTCGGAGGAGGGCAGGGAGCTGTTCCTGTGGGCAGCAGAGGAGAGGACTCGCAGTAAGGGGTTTAAACTAAGGGCAGGAAGGATCTTAGGAAAAACGTCTTTACAGTAAGAATTGTGCCACAGTGGAATCGGCCGCCTAGGGATGTGGTGAGCTCCCCCTCCCTGGCAGTCTTCAAGCAGCGGCTGGACAAAGACTTGTCAGGGATGCTCTAGGCTGATCCCGCATTGAGCAGGGGGTTGGAGTAGGTGGCCTCTAGGGACCCTTCCGACTCCGTGATTCTATGATCTCGCTGGCCAGGGTGGGAAACAGGACATAGACCTAGATTATGATTGCCATCCTCCAGGTAGCACCTGGATACCTCCCACTATTAGCATTGATCTCCAGATGACCAAGAGTTGCCCTGGAGAAAATGGCCACTTTGGAAGGTGGCCTCTGTGGCATTATACTCCATTGAAGCCCCTCCCCTCCCCAAACCCCACCCTCCTCAGACTCCACCCCCAAAATCTCCAGGTATTCCGGAGCTGGCAGCCCGAATCGAGAGGGTTCTTAGGGCCA